AGTCCATCCACGGCTCAGTGAACGGATCTCTTGTGTCAGTTTTTGGACCCTCACCCCAAACATCAGCACTGCTCTCTCCGCCGTAGTTTTGCCGATCTGGCGCTTTTCCATTGTAATCGTTGTTGCGGCGAAATGGATTACTGGAAGATGATCGCTGTCTCCGTTGGATAGGTTGGCCGGTAGTACTGGCACGATCTGAACGTATATGTCTAGCTGAGCCGTTGGACCTCTGGCTTTCGGATGAGGTCCTCGGTGTGGCATCCGCGGATCCAACTTGTAACGTAGATGGCAAGCCTCCATGTAATGGCGTATCACCATTGCCTGCGAATCCTGCGCCCACTCTCAGCGGAGGAGGTAGCTCATGATTCATCGTGCTTTCAACGGGGCGTCGCGGGCCATCGGCAAGATTAGGTGCATTGATACCCCCTGTTGCTCTCTCAGCTAACTCTTGTGATTGCACATCACGAGGAGAAGCTGGTAGCTTCGAGCTTCTTGCAATGGGTGATGAAGGCGTGACTGGATAAGGGACCGCTGGTGCAGCCTGACCTCTGGCAGAGTTAAATGGCTTGCGGACCATCATGCTTTGTTCTTGTCTAATTGAGATCGAAATGGGCTATATTTGTGATCGCGCCTCTCCACTTTAAGTCGATAATGTAGCAGAAGAGGACCTGTATCGTGAAGGTAGCAGTTGAGGTTCATTCCGTCATTCAATGACAATTTAGGCAGAGAGGTTTGAAGAGGCGGTGCAAGTTGGTAATTAGGGCGGTAGCTAGATGCGCAACGGTCATAGCTGGAGATGTACAAATTTCGGCAACAGACTTGACAAGGTAATGGCTATATTCAAATTTAACCTTGAATGAAGTTTTGAGATTGTCTGCATAAGATGGATGAGAAGCAAATGGGCGACGTAATAGAGTACGCATCCACAACCAGGTGGTGAGAGTCCCGGGGTCCCGCCGCTGGCTTATCGATAACGAGGCAGCGCTAAAAGCGGATTTTCAGGAACGATACCACCATACCTACCTTAGGAACCAAATCCTAGAGCATCCTCCAACACAAATACCAATACAGTAACAACGAAATACTCTGCAAATCCATTTCAATTAGAGGATGAAGCAAGAGCTTGTTCAGCCACATGCATATGTTGCGCTACGCTTGCCCTCAGATTCGACCATAGTTGTCCAGGTCCTGCCAAATACGTATGTGAAGTAGCTGGAGTGAGCGGTCTCACCTTCTCCTTCGCGTTTCGCGGCTGACGACAGAGTAAGTACAATCTCCATTGGCAAATATGGGGCCTTCCAAGCAAACAATATCCTGGGTCGGCCCTACCACCTTACCTTCGAGATTCGAGATTCCGTCACCAGCGATGGTAAAGCACAGTCAGGGCTTCGGATAGTGCCAGCCGCCGAGCTCTACGCAGACATCAAGGACGAGGCTCCTGAAACTCCTACTGAAGCAGAAGCAGGAAATCTTGGCGCGAGTGGAGATGGTGTGGAATACGAGATAGTGGGCCAGAATGGAGAAGTCGTCATGCGAACCAACCGTCGGATCACCGATGATCCCAGCAGCCAGATCATGACAATGGATGAGATTGAAGCCTTAAAGGCGCAAAGTACAGGATCGGGGAAAGAGTTGATTGCGAAGATCCTCGAGTCACACTCAGCTTTGGACCAGAAGACGGCGTTTGCCCTTGCCAAGTACACGTTGCGAAAGACGAAGAAGTACCTGAGGAGGTTTACAGTAGTACCCTTGGATGTCGCGACATTGGCGCGGTGGATCCTGACCGACAAGGAACCCATGAAGATCATGGAATTGAGAGAAGAAATACTATCTATGATTGGTAGCTGGTCAAACGTGCACTGTACACCCTCGGTTTCAACACCGTCCCTCGACGGGGAAGGTATGCAGACCAAAGGAGGAAGGTGGCTTGTAGTCGATGAGACAGCAGGGCTGCTGGTGGCTTACATGGCGGAGAAGATGGCAATCCTACATCCTCCCGACCACAACGGAGAAGAAGCGGAGGGCAAAGTATTGTCGAAGCAAGAAACCGATGCCGTCAACGGAGACGATTCAATTGGAAATCCCGCGACCAAACATGTAGTTGCACCACCTCCGGACCACCTTCGCCCTCGCAAGACATCCGGCCCAGGCACCACAAATACGATCACTCTTATCCACGCCAACGCTCAACCAAACCTGTCCCTGCTCAAATACTTCCACTTCGACGCATTCAATCCATCCATATCCCACCCGCTCGAGAGCCACCTCAAGACCCTCTCCTGGCTTCAGCTTCTTTCGCCAGAAGACGACATGGGCTGTGCCGAGCCCGAGATCGTCTCAGAAGAGACCATCCAAAGCTGGAAGAGTGGGAAGAGAAGCAATCACTTCCGAAAACGTCGGCGATGGGAGCGTATAAATTTTGTTGTGGATGAAACCCGCGCTGGTGAATTCGATGGCTTGATTGTCGCCTCAATCATGAACCCTGTCTCAATATTGCGGCATACAGTTCCACTTCTACGCGGTGCGGCTCAAGTAGTCGTTTACTCGCCTACCATCGAGCCACTGGTCGAGTTGTCAGACTATTACTCAACAGGCCGACGGACGGCATTTGTGACGAACCCACCGGATTTCAATTCGATGCCTACGGAAGACTTTCCTCTCAACCCAACACTCCTGCTTGCACCTACAATACAGACAGCACGCAGTAGAAGTTGGCAAGTACTACCTGGGCGAACACATCCTCTCATGACAGGGCGTGGTGGCTCAGAAGGCTATGTCTTCACTGCTACTAGGGTACTGCCAGCAGAAGGAAAAATTGAGGCAAGAGGAACATTCAAGCGGCGGAAGGTTGATGATGGCGTGACACGCAATTCGTCACGGCAAGAGAATGCTGCATCTGGAGACAGTGGCTCAATGGAGATTGATGCATCATAGATATGATTGCTTCCAAACAAATAAATACAATCCAAACCCGTTCCTGTACGTTCTTTTCTTGATTCAACCTGACGCTGTCTCTTACATCGTTCTGGATCAATTACTGCGCGTCTCCCAAACCCCAATCATGTGTTTAGGGTGGTGCAAAATGGTTTCCTCGCTGTCAAGGATTGCCAAAAAGGTTTTTCTCTCCGAGATCACATGACCAGAATGGACCCAGGGTAAAGGGTCGCGCTTGGAAGGACCCGCAAATGCAGAACGATCAGTCAAAGCTAACCTTTGCTCGGCAGCCAGTCATTTTCGCTGGTGAGCTGTTTGGCAGCAGGCTAGCATAAAGCCGATGAGCGGACCCACTGACCCTCCCACCACTCCGAAAGTTGATACACAAAAGGACTCCTTTTCTTTTGGGGCACTGCGTCATACTTTCACCCTTCCATTTCACGAATACACTCATGGAACAAAGGCGCACTTCTATATCCCTAGGTCGCAATCACTGGCCATGGTGATCGTCGGGGATGAGACTTCGTGTTTGTCCGCTGGGGCCGTGAGGGACACCCATGTCCCATGACCAGCGAAAGAGGGGTTCGCAGCAACGCTATGGTAGTCTTCCTGCAGGTTGCCATAATCAGCGGTAATGAGCGCAAGCCCAAATAGATGCAGGATTGCGCTCCATGGCAATCCTAGTCACGACTCGAGGATACGGTACTCCTTTTTCATGTCGTCAACCCCAAATCTTGAAGGGTTGTGTAGCAACAGTCTACAGATCTCCTGAGCGCGTGGGAGCTGGGATATCTTTCCGGCCCCTAAAGGCTGCTTCCGTCATAGTAGCCCCCGACCACCTATGCCTAGGTAGCTTAGCAGACGTCCAAATAGACTAGAAGCCTACTAGAAGAGCAGATCTTTGGCCTCCAATTGACGGCGGCGGCGGCATCACGCTGTTTGGCAGATAGCTCGGTGGGGAAGACCCAATCATGCGTGCAAAGCGGCGTGTGAACGCTCTGTATGGAGGAGCAGGAAAGCGGTAGTTTACACCTCACGGGAGTTATGGTAGAGAGTAGAGTATGACCAAGGAATAGGAAAAACTGGCGAAGTGAATTGAGCGGGGTGGCCAGGCCGTTTGCAGAGAGGAGGGTGATTCTGTTCTGATTTGAAGATCTCGTATTCACAAGTATGTACCTTAGACTTGTTGAAGATGCACCAATTAATGCCCCTTTTTCAATAATAAGGTCCATCAAGCACGTTTTGATTGCTTACAAGGATCCCCTCGACCCATTGTTTCGGGGTTGACCAAGGCCCCCCCCAAGCGAGAAATTACTTTAGCTGCTATTAGCGCGAAATCCTGGATCATAATTCTACTTTACACTCGGTCATGGGAGAGCTCTTTTGTTCCTGCTTCAACCTTTCGCGATCATCTATTCCATCGCATCTCTCATGGCGCATTCCTTCTGACCGACATTATATCTTTCCAAATTGTCTGCATTTATTACGGCTGTCTAATACTACAAGCTTTCTCTTAACAGGCCCAAGTCCTGCTGTATGCGTGTCCCTTGAGCCGTGGTCCTTCCTCTCAAGCCAAGCTCTGGGTGAAGCTTCAGCTTGCATGGAGAGCTCTTGATCACTCCTCCACGGCCGTCATCAACGTACTTACGACTGTCAAGCCATACCAATCTGCTTCGGCTCCTCACACTCACTGTCAGATCCTTGTTACGACTCACATTACGATACATGACCACTGAAGAAACGATCTACGACCTCCAACCCCCCCGATAGATCTAGAGCCAACTCAAGCCAACCTAATACCCCTTGAATTTCCAACCATCGCTGCAGCTGAGAATACTCGAAACGTACCCACCTCTGTACTCGGCCCAAAAGAAAGACGTCTATCGAATCCAGCTATCGCCTTGAACTACTCCAAGACTGCGAGTCTCCAACAGCTTCCGCCTGACACCGGAACTCTCATCCAGTCACAGAAGATAGCCAACATGAATAACCATCATCATCACAATGAAATGTATTACGAGCAGGCGTCATCACGCTCTCCAGGCTCTCACCGCCATCAACAGCAAATGCTCCACCGCCAACCTTCCCGGCACTTCGATGCCTACGGCCAAATGCCAAACAATGTATATACGCCCGACGATCAATCTATGAGATATGAGACGAACAGATTTGATAGAATGAATGGTCAAGTGCAAGGAAATGGTTATAGCTATGAGCTTCCTCCAGCTCAGACGTGGAACCCCAACGCCTTCAGCAGCAACAACAACAACAATTTCGCTCCTCCTTTCGCAGCGGCTACTGGAAGGATGAAGTCCCAGACACGAGGACGAAGTGCTCTGCCCACAGTATGTACACCGCGCTCACAGCGCCTCAGAATCCCACGTCCTTTTGCTAATGCTGAGACGTGCAGGGATGGATGGACACACAGCAAATGTCTAATCCAAACCTTTATGGAGGCGGTCACGGCCCTTCGCCTCTTGGGATGTCTCATATGCGGTCCGAACAATATGCGACTGATCCTGACGAGGAGCTCATACCAACTGCCATCGTTATCAAGAATATTCCATTCGCCGTGAAGAAGGAGCAACTGGTAGATCTTATGACCTCATTGAATCTTCCACTGCCATACGCCTTCAATTACCACTTCGATAATGGCGTCTTCCGTGGCCTTGCATTTGCAAACTTTACTTCGCCGGACGAGACTCAGCAGGTGATCGAACAACTGAATCACTATGAGCTGCAAGGGAGAAAATTGCGCGTGGAGTACAAGAAGATGCTTCCACTGCAGGAAAGAGAGCGCATCGAAAGAGAGAAGAGAGAGCGCCGTGGTCAACTCGAGGAGCAGCATAGACCAATGGGTGGGCCTCAGCTACACAGTCAGCCATCAATGTCATCATTGTCTTCCCACAGGCTAGCAAACACTCCGTCACCTATTGGCACTAGAAATGAAATGCCGGGTAAGCAGAAGCTGTTTGGCACATGTTTGACCGGAGCTAATCACGTTTCGCAAGACATAGATCTGAACGATCCCCAGACGCTGTCATTCTATAGCGAGCTTCTGCTCTTTAGAGACGACAAGTCAAGGGAGGCTTTGATATTCCCATCGACTCTGGCTCCACCTCAACGGCGCATAGTACATACGCTAGCGCATCACATGCAGCTAGCACACGTCTCTCGCGGTAATGGAGAACAACGACAAGTCCACGTCTACCGTCCAGATATGAGTCAACAAGGCATAAGCCCTCCAATACCGCAAGTTTCGGCCCTTCAAGGTGGAGATCCATCAAGGAGCAGGGGCCTCAATCGAGCTGCTACAATAGATTTCAACGAAGCTCGGAACAATTCTGACTCGGGAATGTACAATACTCTCCGAGGCCAGCAGTCTTCTGGCTTCCTAGGTATCCCCGACTCCCCAAGTGGCTTTGGGACGGCACAAAATCTTCGGGCAGCCAAGTCTGTTGCAGATCTACGATCCTACACCCCGTCGCCTGTCCCATCTACAGCTAGCTTTCCGCCTAACCTACAATCCAATATTGCCAGGTTCCAGGACTATGGGACTGGAAGCGCATCGTCCGCCGCACCAACCTTGACGCCCACTGCTTCTGGCTCCGCCCTCGGGCAATATCGCGATGAAAGTGCTCTCGTCAATGGATTTGGCAGTATGTCCTTAGGAGGAAATTTGGGACCCAACGGAGGAAGCCCTCGACGTCTGAGAGGGGCTTTCTCTTGGGACCAAGATAACCAACAATCGGCTGCTGGACCGTCGGGACCGTCGGGACCGTCGGGCGCTGGAGCTATTGGCAGCAACCGGTCCTTTAGCATGAATTTTGACAACTCCTCACAAGACAGAGGCTTGCCCATGAGGCAACCGCGCGGGCCATCAGAGCGTGGGCCTCCGGCTTTTTCCCGCGGACGACAGAACGGCCATCAAGCTCGAGGTAGCGATGAGCTGAGACAGCAGTCCAGTCAAGTGGAGATCATCGTTGAGTAACCGCTAGGTTCCGAAGGCTGCTCGGCTCTGTCAGAGAAACGAATCACGACGGATGATGATATGACACCTAGACAACATAACAGGGGCTACCCTTTCTCCATTCCCATGCTTGGTTTTTGATGGGATACCCCGATCCTTGAGATTGGTCAATGAATTTCAATTTCCTTCGCAGCGCATTTACTCTCATCATCTTCGCCACCTGCTTTCTTCTACACTCTATAATCAAATTCGGCACCGAGACCCTTCCTCCCCTTTGCTATTGCAAATGTTGGAGCTCTAGGCATTCCGAGAACGTACGATACGGCAAGATAGAGACCTACACCTACAGTCGCCGCATCTGCTCGGCTGGGAACAGATCACAGCCTCACTTTATTCCAGTTTATCTTCAAGTACATCTAAGTCTTCTTCAGTTGTTGACGAGCCTGCCGGATCAGGATGAAATGGGGGTATGCAATAGTCTTTCGTGCACTAAGAATTGCAATCAGATAGTCGTGCCTACATTTGATTGCATTAATAGATCTAATATCATTCCGTTTGCCTCTAGTCGCACCTGTGACGCGCGCTTCTTCAAGGCACCGCTCTCAAGTGCTGCAAACCTGGGGTCGCCGAGTCAACTTGGCCTGCCATTTACACAACAATGATCCCCAAACAATAACATCTTTTGACGTCATCGTATATTTCAATTTGCATATTCCGATACTGACCCTGGTCATCGAAGATATCAGAAAGACGGTAGCATCCCTCCGATCGCCCCAGAACTGGCTTTACTGGAAAGACCCTGGGCATTCGCCTAGCTTTCCAACTGCTGTCGGCCATATCAAAGCAGAGGGCTGTCCAACACTTAGGACATGACTTTTGACCACCGTTCGGACAAGCAGATCGAAGTCGCACATTGTAGGAGTACCTGTCTTATTGTATAAGCCGCTATGTGTCTGGCCGCATGTCCGGGAATGGCAAAGTCCATGTGGGAGAAGACCGGAAGTTCGTAGCAGGATATCCAGCGGACGGCCCTTGAAGCGCTCTCGGTTAGGACTTTCGAGGAGGTTGCTTGAGGCAGGAGAGTATAAGTGCCTTGTCATGGTGGTGGAGCTTTCTCATTTTGCGCTACACTGCGAGCAGTTGATAGCAACGTCTACAAACCTGGGTACCGCTCCAAAAGACATCGTTCTCAATCGCCTTTCGGCTGATTCCTGTAGATGGATAGTGGAAGGATGTCATACGGTGCAACAGTTGAGAAGGTTGCTTCACCTGGAACGCCGCGGATTGGTTTAGGGTCCCACCCGTCCACGTCGCCAGCACGAAGTGGCAGAATCCTATCTAACGAACACGTTGTGCCATCAGACTGAGAACTGGACATAGCTCGTCCCTCCTAAATCAACGTGCGCAGGTGAATCACTAAATGAATGAAGCTGAGTAGGTGTACCCACAAAGCTCGTTCAACTTGCAAGATATCCCTTCTAAAAGCCCCAAATGAAAAGGTGTCAAGGTGCGTTGCCAGCTGGATTGCACAAATCACGGGGAACAACCCCAGCATGTCGGCATATCTCCGTCTCATATCCACGCTGCCCAACATGCCCGGAGGGGTTCTGCCTTCTAGCGGCCCATAGTGGATCCTCGCTTGCACCAAAATAATAAAGGAAAGGGATCCATGGATATGCTGGCGACCGCAAGGGGAAAGAAACTCCAACAAAGCCAACTACGAGGTGGCCTCTTGCGCCAGTACATCAGTATAAGAAAGCCAAATTTATATTTCTATGCTGTTCATCCAGCTATCTCAAAGGCGAGAATTCCACCCTTGCATGCTACAGCAAGTGAAACAAGCCTATATAATAAACGTATACTGAGGCTGCTACCACTATACGATTGAAATTGTTGAATCGAGGTCCATGCTCCGTGTGCGAGTACATAGGTCTTTACCAGGTCGATATTGAAAGAAAAAGTGGACCAGATCCGGGCTTTTAGCCATTTTGGCCTCTGCAAGATGGGCTAGGATACATATATTAATAGAGTTGTTTTACTTCTCGTTTTATTTTCTGAGATCTCGTGCTGCCTCTGTCCCACACCTTTGTCTCGATCGACCCAAGGGATTGCCATCTGGAAAACACGCCAGTTCCACTTTTCCATCCGTAATGGTTATGCTTCAATCACTCGGTCTCTTGATGAAACTTTAGTTTCCTATCTTCCTTTCCTCGTCCAGAACTTCCAACACCCTCCTGACCATTGTTGCATCACTAGCGAGAACCCTTCGTCTAAATGCAAAACCGAGACTTGACTAATACGAATGATAGTTGTCAAAACAAACCATCCCATATCACCAACAGCAATCACAACCTCGTAACAACGTTCCAACTACCGCCAAGGTGCCCGTGGAAAGCAGAGCTCCTGACCATCACATCTTCCTTCTGCTCTTACGTTCTGCAACTCTTCTCATACAACTGCTGGAAGCGAATCACATCATTCAAATCGCCTCCAACTCACTCCTTCACTCAACCCCTATCTCATGTGTCCACAATCTCTTTGACAGTCATGGACTCCAGAGAACGAGCACAAGGAATGCCCCTCTTTACCCAATCCAGCTGAGGGCTACGCGGAAAAACTCCATCTCCTCTCCAAGAAATGCTTTCCACCCTCCTTCCTCCACAATCCAAGTCAAGACCTTGAGAGACTGCCATTCGCAGTTCCACTAACACGTCACTTGCAAGTACCAGCTAAAAATCGTCCACGCCGTCAAAAACAAAGACATTGACGCGACTGAAATCGCCACCCATTTCCATGGTAAGATGCAATTTCCTTTCCTTTCCTTACCTCTCCTCTCCCTTGCTTCAAAACCCTCACCGCACACTCCTCCTCAGAAGCTTCCCATCAGGACATCAATGCACGCCAACACCTCACAACCCCAGGCGCTCCACCCCGAGCCATCACGCAACATCTTGGAATCCTCCGCGAAGACGGCAAAAACCCCCCCCCGGGCGCCCCTATCGTCGGAGGCTCCGCCACCCCTCCGGGGTCCCGCAAACGCGGCGCTGCTGAGTTTGCATACGAGGGGGATGGAGCGATGGGTGTGAAATATGGAAGAAGAAGTGGGCGATGATGGAAGGCGGCCCCTGAAGCGCGGCAAGAAGCGCAAGGCGAGTGTTTGATGCTGGGGGTGTGGGAGAGGGGATGCGAGCCTGGGAGTGGGGATGAAGAGGGGAGGGGATGGCTGGGGGGGGAGGAGAAGGAGGCTGTGATGATGATGATGCGTAGGATGTAGAGGGGGATTGGTGTGCTGACGTTGCTGTCAGATATTTCTTCCATTCTTTGACGGTGTGAAGGCGTGACTGGCCGGAATCTACGGCTATGGAAAAGCTGGGTTGTACGTATGTGGCAGCTGGGGGCGCTGCTGTCGGTGCCGGGTTGTGGCAGTTGACCGTTGGTGGAGGAGAGACGTGTGGTAACGGACTGTATACTTTCTGCGAGGTTGCACGCATAGTGAATGGAGATACTGGAAAAGGATCATGTCTCGTCATTGATTGAAGGTCTATTTATTGGTTGATCGCTTGCCGGCCTGTGACACGCTCGCTATGCAACCCTGCCTGCAACGCCAGCCATGCATATGTACAAATTTGTCTCATTTCGGCGCATCTCTCAACGTTCTCCCACCCAATTTCTGCCCACCCCCTGCACCAGGATCTTTCTTCTCCGCTTCCTTGCCCTTTTCTATCTTCTCAACGGCATCCGGCTCCCCACCCTTGCGCTTCAGGCCTCCTCTCAGCGTTTGTCCCTGCCCTTGGAACTTGGGCTTGCTTTCATCTTCAACTTTCTCTTTCTGCTCGCCGGTCTTGCGTACGGGTTTGACTTCGTAGCCGAAGAACAGTTTCCCCGGTGGCAGGCGGAGTGGTTGTGGTCCGTTGGTGCGTCTGATGGTAGTTGGAGGAGGGTTCGTCGAAGCGCCTGCGACTGGGGTGGACGCTTTGGGTGTGGGCGCTTTACTTCCCTTCCGCACGTTGAGCTTTTGGCCTCCGAGGAGGAAGTTGGAGGACACGGCTTTTGCGCCATCGGCTGCTGTGGATGATGTAGGTGCTATGGAGGCGTAGTTGATTGCTTTGGACATGGTGCCAGTGTTGTGTAACGTTCCGCCGGGCGGCAAAGCGCCTGTCATTGATCTAGGTGTGCTGGTACCACTGACGCGTTTCGGCTCTTCATAGCCCACCGGAGGGGCGAAATCAACTTCTAGATCCGTCTCGAGTACACTGATAGCTCCTTTTGCAGCGATGCCGGGTTTTGTTTCGAGCACTTTCATGGAATAGACACTGTCGTTGTACGCAAAGGTGAAGACATCGCCGACGGTTAAGCAGGAGAAATTTCGGAAGGCATTTTCGAGGACGGCTTTTGGGTCGGATATATCGAGGAACGATGTAGATTGAGCTTGGAGTTTGACAAATTGGCCGGAGGGGAGGTCGGTGGATTTGATTTGGAGAAGGTCGCCGGGTTCGAGAGAGAGGGTTTCGAGCATCTAGACACCGCATCTCTTTAGCAATATGCTATTAGATGACCATATGCTCAGGATGATCGTACCCAATAAGGCAAATAGATCTTTCCCTCCTCCGCAATGAACTCCAATACACCTGCGTGCGTCATAGTATCCTTGTTTCCATTTATTAGCTCGAAGAGCATAGGATATGTGATGTGTAGGCGTGTCAGCTTGTCGAGAGCACTGGGCGGCATGATCACTTTTCCGCCGTGGTTCACATTCTCTCGCTCGGGACCAGGCAGCATGGCGACGGGGTAACAGCGGTAGTATTCGTCGAAGCGGCGAGGTGGCATGCCGCCTGCTCTGCCCATCATGCCTGGGGGGAACATGCCGGACATAGGGTCGTCGTCCTGATAGAAGCCTGGATTGAACTGATGGTGAAGATTAGTATTATGGGGTTAAAGAGCTTGGAGGTGGAGGTAGGTACCATTTTGAAAGTTCTAAGGCTAATAAGAGAATATGTTGATTCAGAGAAGCTGGAGAAATG